TGGTTTGTGGTTCAGTTGAAACGGGGAGAATGACATGTAGTAAGCAGAGTGTTAATTCTGAATGGTTCATCCAATTCTACTAAAAGGCTTCTTGGGGAAAAGATGACAAGGTTCATATTCTTGTTTTCAGCAATTCATTTATGTATTGCAAATAACTCATAGATAGCAAGGTGGGAATGTTCTCCCTTACAGTATGAGCAACTCTAGCTGTGTGTACAATAAAACATTCTTTCATGACAGCATTAATGGGAAAAAGCCAGATGTATATATTTTCATGTTTGCTTTTCTTGTCAGTTTCACACAGTTCCAGCTTTCATCTCCTAAAGGTTTTTGTTTTCATGAGCAAGGTACACTGGAGAGCACTCCAAATTATCTGACATACTTTAAGTGGTGTTTTTCTGACATTTCAGAAATTTAGAGTGAAAATCCTAGAATCTGAGAGGTGTACGGTAGCATAAATAACATTGTTTAATTATTATGGGTATGGCATACAACATTCAGCCAATAGCTAGTAAAGTTGTTTGTCTTTTGTTCCTTATTACACCAGTCTGCCCTTTCATCTTTTGAATAGCACACAGCTCTTCTTCAGCCATCCTTGACTTGAAGGTTGGTTGCATGACAGACTTTTGCTTAATCCTTTTTATCATCCTGCATTAGAGAAATAGCAGACGGTAGGGGTATTTATCTGCTCCTTTTGTGGACCCTGTTCCTGGATGACCTGCCAAGGTTAAGCATGCAGAATCAGTTTTTCTTCACATAGGCACAGCTTTTAGCTCTAGAAGTATCAACTCAACCCCATAGAAATGGGATTTCTCCTATCCTCCAGTGAAGGAGGTGTGCTATACACTGTTGTACCTCAGTTATTGGGATAGAATATGTGGGGGGTTTACTGATTTTTATACCCTAGTGCAAATTTTACCCAGATACAAATTCTAAGCCAAATGAATTTGACAAAATTCCTCTGAAAGAAAATGCACCAGAAAATGGTAGTAAGTGGGTTTTGTCTAGTTATTCATCTATACTGAAACAGTCCTCAGAATTGTGATCTTCTTTTAATATAGATTAGGAAGTTCCTGATCTGAAAGTACAGCATAAAATAGAAAAGAAAGTAGGTTTCCTCGTTATTATATTCCATGATGCGTATTTTCACTTCACTGCAAATGTATGTTTTTCCCTACTAACTGAAGTATAGAGTAATTACACTCATGCTCGTACTATATAGCATAATACAGCAACATCGGGAAGGTAAGGCATTTTGGATTTTTTTTGTCAACTACAACAATAAATAACTCTTATGCATATGGGAAATATGAAAGGACTTAGTATCTTAGCTCTGTATCTAAGCTTAGTATCGTAGCTTCCTCAAAAGCAGTTTGATAGCTCAGAAGACGGGAAGATGAACTTTTATCTTCTGTTTGGTGCATTACAATACTTTCCTCGTCTTCTATTATGCAGAGTATATTTAAAGCAACAGAACCAAAGCTAGGCACTTAATTAAGTTAGATTTGTAAACTTCAGCAAAACCAGATCCATCTGGAGGATATAATGCCCAGATATTCATGCTTCTTTTGGTCTTCCTGAAAATGTTTAAAACAAGAGTAATGTTTCTGTGGGGCTTGTGGAAAAATAAAGCTTGCTAACTGTTAGGATTTTAGATTCTGGAGCTAATTTCTTCTTAACTAGACTTTTTGTAAAATTAATTTGCTAATACTTAAACCATCTCAGAGAGGAATGAGAGGGCTAATGCATTCCCAGCAGCTGAAAGGAACTATTTCTATTTGGATAGATCTTTCTGGCCTCCTCAAAAGCTGTGGTTTGACTTCCTCAAGCTCCTCATGCTCAAAAAAGCATAGATACTTTATGTTCCCAGCGATGTGCTAGAACAAAGGCTCCTGTCCTGCAAGCGCCTTCCTTTCAAGGTGAGAGGACACTACACAATACAAAAGGCAGAAAGGAATGTGCAGGCCAATCAGCAGTTCAGCCTGTACAAAGCAGGGGAAATTGTGAAGTACCTGAACTTAAAACTTCCATTTGAGTGTAGCAGCATCTATGCAACAGGAATTGCTGTTTTCAAACAATACAACATAATTGTCCATCCTCTATAGAAAGTTTTAATGAAAAAAAAAAAAAAGGAAACTCTAGTTCCAGTTTTGGTGACATTTTCTAAGGAAAAGGAGTAGAAGGGGTGAATGGCCTTTTTCAGATTAGTTTTACCAATGTTTCTCCTTTCTTATTAGCAATTCTTTGTTTCTAGTGTCTTCTGACATACTTTAAACTATGCACTGTGAGAATCTAAACTGTGCTGCCATATAGGGTGCATAGCTGAATACTTCTTGAAAAGATCCAGGGAAAAGATTTCATTCCACCTCTCCATAAGGCCTGGGAGATTTGGAGGACTAAGATTGCTAGCATTTTCATTCCTATACACCTTGGGAGTGGAATAAAATTTCCTGAAGGAGCCTGGACGTGACTGAGAGATTTCAGTTACATGAAACAACAATAGATCTGGGTGGTTTGTTAGAGAACAAATAGTTTCACTAGACTTTAGTTTTAATTTGAAACTCTCAGGAATATAAACTCAAATGAGCCTGGGAGCTGAAAAATGTACACAATCTAGTTGTATTTCTTATTTTAGTTGATTTATTTTATTGATATCACAATAACATTTTCATTATAACATCTAGTCATGCAAGTAGACAAATTCAAGATACACTTCTTTCCTCTTTATTTGTTTCCCCTTATATTTATTTTCAGGATCAGTTTAATGCAGTTGCAGAGCTGTCTTTCACAATCCCAACAACAAAGCCTTGCACAATACCTTTCAGTAGAGATTCCGGTAACCGGAAGCTTGATGTAAACAAAGCCCAAACAGGAAAGGGCTTTGCAAGGAACTCCATTGACATGCATAGTTGGATCCTGACAGCAAAGGAAGGCTTATGGGAAGGGTTAGGGTATTTCAGAAAAACAGTTATGCTTTATCACTAATATTTCTTTTATATTGTATGACTGGAAAAATTCCACTGTCTTATATTCCAACTCATAGGAACAATTGCTTCCTAGTTAAATATTTAAAGTGAAATTTTCTAACTTGTTTTGGACCACATCTTTATCTCCTGTGAGTTTTTTAGAGATACAGCCTAATATCACTTGAGTGCTTTTGAAAATCTTGTGGTTAATTTAATATACTCTTTTCTATGTCTCTAGTATAATGTACTTGCTAGCAAAGCTTTTTTATAGCATGCAAACATATGTTTTTTGAAAGTTTTACCAAGCATATCTGAAAGATTATTCTCTTATCACAGAGAAAGAAAAAATGTAACCAGTACTCTGTTTACTGGTCTTGTATAAGAACATAAAAATACTGAGAATATTTCTTAATCAGTAAGGAATTTATTTCCTTCTGACTGTGTGGCAAAGAAGGCTTAAAATCCTTTAGATAGTACTGAACAGAGAAAGTGCTTATAAATGAAAGTTATATATGAAGTCAGCAAAGAACAAAGAAACTATTGTATGTAAGTGGTAAAGCAGGCTGATTTCTGAAGGACACAATGAAAAATAGGTGGGAGAATGGGGTAGAGGAAGAAGTTCAGGATCTCTGGTATATAGTATTTTTTCTGGTGTGTTCAGAGGTTGTGTCAGAGTTGATGTTAGATATGATTATGGTTGCTATCAACAGAAATGAGGATGAAGTTATGTGGTCTGAAAAAAACAGGAATGATTTTGTAACCCAAAGGTCTGGGCATATCACGTACCCCTGAGTTAGAAATGGAACTAGGTGTAAGTAGTCTGAGGTAAAGGCTTCAGTACCAGCAGCCCCCGAGAATGTATGGAGACATCAGCTTGCATGAGTATATGGAATAAATCTAAAACTATGCAAGCCGTTTTGTTTTTGAACAAGGATAAAAGAATGCAGCTTATTTATCCAAGGGATATTCCCAGTTACCTACACTGGTCCATTTCCTCTCTGAAGACAAGACATTATATAAGCAATAATTTGAGGTATGTGCATTATTACATCTAGTTGGGGTTATCTACATGATAACCTTCTACCCTACATGAAATATGTCCAGATGACATCTGCTGCAAATATGACTCTAGGACTGAATAGGAATTCTATAAAGAAAAAAAAAAAAGGACAGAAAATGTTGAGGCTGATCTAGTACTTCCTCAGTTATCTGTAGCAGTTTTTTCCTCCCATAAGTACAATACAGTAACATTAGGTGGAAAATGGAATGAAGGACACACAGTAAGGTATTTCATCTGCAAATAAATTATCTAGGAGGTAATACGTGGCTTACTCACAGAAGACACCATTAATAAAATGCTTAATTTCTTTCTTGCAATTGTTTTATAATGTTAATTAACAGTTTTGTGACAGTGAAACATTAATGAGAACAAACAGCTTGAACATTTTTGTAAAGTTACTTTGTTAAATATTTATAAAAATACACAAACTGGATAGCTACTGTATTAAATTAAATTACCACCATTTGTGCTAAATAGAGCATCTATTATGTAATAATGTGATTTTAAATTGTTTAAACATTCCAGATAACCAGTGGAGGCGAGGCCCTGGGGTTTTCCCATTGAATTCAAAAGAGACTAGGCTACTGCTGAAAAACCTTAATTTAGTAAATCGGTATCCATGACATACATGTGGAAAAGAATGTAATATGAAACTACCACTGTTGTGAGAGCAACTTTAGTGTGATATAAGGGAGAACTTAATAAAAAAAGGAACTCAGAAGTCACATGGAAAAGCTAGAAAGAAAAACTGCTTCAGTCACAAGCAGATGTTACTGGATCTGGCCAGAAATTTTCCATCAGAATCCTTTTCTGCTGGGATGTGCAGTTTTAGTTCGGTCAAGTGGACGGAAATTTTTAGTATTCTTGATTATTTTCACTGGGGAAATAAAAAAGAGAAGATGTGATTCCATGGACTTGTGAATCCTTGCCTGGTCACCCAGTGCAGCCACTGTAGAGCCAGGGCTGCCTCCAACACAAGGACCTTGGCCCTGAGAGAGGCTTGTCCCTCTGTCTCCTGGGGACTTTGGTCACCGCAGAGCTGCTGCCTTTCTGAGTTGGAGGGCTGGACACCTGTGGAGCTGGGTGACCTGCTGAGACAGTCAGAGGACTACTCAGTGGGGCCACCTTGTCCTTAGGCCCTTGTTCCACAGGTTCCCGTCTGTCCCCTTTAACGACCATGCCAGGGGATCAGATGGTTTGATAAAGCCATTAGTGGCTTTTCCTGACCATGAAACTTAGAAATCAATAAATCACGGAAAAATAGTTCACCAGGGGCACACCCCATGCAGAAGGCTGAGCCAGAGGAGGGAGTACTATCCCTGGAAGTCTGGGTGGACGTGGATGTGTTGTGTGTTGGAGACAGCATCATGCTCCCTTGAGTCGTGGGGCAAGGCCTTGGCTGTTGTGTGTCTGCACAAGGTGCGTGCGTGTTGTGGAACAGAAATCTTACAACAGAAATCACCATCTACCTGCTATACCCATTATGCTTACTAAACAAATAGGAAATTTTGTGCCACTGAGTGATGTGGTTCAGTTCCTCCTGCTGCTGCTCTTTTAATACCCTGTGACAGACTGAAATAAGCTGATACTCCTGAATTGGACTGAATGGACCTTCAAATATCTTATTTTCCTGTTCAAAGTTTCAAACAGTTCAACTACAAAATGTATTTATTCAGTATTTGCAAGAATATCTGTGGCTGTTTAATTTAAAAAGAGAATTAAACAATGGATCAGTATTAAAAATATTAAATAAAGTCTAGGTGACTCAGGAAAGAAGGGGCTCCTAACATTATGATTCCTTAAGTTCTGAGCCAGAATTTTGCAACTCTGCTACCCACTTCTAACCTTTGGGGTTTTTTTCTATAATATATGAGCAGAAACAGATGTTTTCCACTACCAACATCTGATCTGTGTGTGAAGAATTAAGGGCATTATATGCTATCAAAGCAATGAGCGATACTTAACCATGCAGACTCCTGTTAACCCCAGACAGAACTACAGTGGTAAGCATCTGCATATTGTCTTCAAACCTTAGAGTAACCTAATATGACAGTCAAGTCTCTATAAATGATATATATGTATTTAAAGAAACAACTTGGTTAATTTAAATAATTCCAAACAAGGGCAAGGTTTAGTTTCAAACAGTGTTAGAACCATGGAATAGTTTTGGTTTGCATGATTCAACAACAATTTAAGGTATCAATCATACATTTTAAAGATAAGCTCGAATCCTCTTCTTAACTATTCCAGCACATTCAGCTTCTTTTGGTTCTGCGGGCCAGCCCCAGGGTGGGCTTAAATGAACGCTTCTGCTTAAGAGGTTCACTGTCTGATGCACTATTTTTGTTATTCCTACTCTGTTTCCCTTCTCAACCTGGACCTAAGAAACTGGAATGTCAAGAAGTCAGCATTTGTCTTCAAGTTTCCTTAACTACCTTGGGCTGGAATGCCCAAGGAAAAAAAGACATTTAGCAATGATATCTGTGGTATGGCTGTATCAGTTCTGATCTTCTTGGCCATCAAGTTAGAATAAATTGTGGCATGGACAGAGCCTGTGTAAATCAGCCTCAGGGTCATGACAGAGCAAAGCTGTTCTACAGTTCTTGTACCTCCGCAAGGATGTTTTATGTAAAGTTCCCCTGGATCTAGCATACTTAATAAATATCAGATCTGATGCTGTTACTTACAATCATAAAGTGACAATGGCTTGTTTTATAGGGCCTTTGTGAAAGCTCATTTTTGCACATTGAAGTATTTGCTCCAAGTTCCACATAGTTCTTATAGTCAAGGTTGGTACTAACATGAGGAAATTCCCAAGAGCAGCCAAGTTTCTTGAATTGAAAAGAATTCTGGAAATAACTTGTCTAAACCAGCATTTTCCAAAGTCATCGCCATAAATCTGCCAAATACATTCCAGACTGGTATTTTATGACAGAGTATTCCCCTTGTTACACCCAATGGGAAAGACTGTAATCTGTGCCTTCCTTGAGTTAACCAAAGAGGCATACTGAAGGATGTTAATTTAAAAAAGATGAACATGATGTAATATTCCATAGTAATTTGCAGTTTGAATAGTACTCATGTAACAAAACAATAATAAAGGGCCAGATGCATCAATGATGCCACTCTTGTTAGCAGATGCAACACTGTAAAGAAGGGATTTGTTATCAAAAGGTGCATGTCAGTCAATGGACTGTTAATTTGTAGTATGCATTAATTTAAAAAAAAAAAGTTCTACTGCAAATGCTATAGCCTGCTGTTTTAGGGAAACTGAACTATTTTATTTGTTGGAAGAACAGAAATCACAAAACCTGAGGTCCCTGTAACTTTCAGGAAAATATGTGGCCAGGAAGGAGGAAAGATTCTGTGAAAGTCTCTCCAAAGTTGCCTAGACTGTGCTCTCTGGTGACCCCCTGAGCAGTCACATCAGAGGCCCAAATGGTGCACTCCTAGCTCTAGCCATGTAAATCTGAGGTGCGCCTAAGCCAGAGATGTTGGATCCGTGCTTGCAAAATTGGACAGGTTTTGTTCGTATCTTCAGTAGTCTTGTGATCTGCTGTAACTCTTAACTTAAAAAAAAAACCAGGCTGCATTCTGCTGTTGGGAGTAATAGGAGGAGCGAGATGAGCAGAACAATAATAAATAAAAATAGCCAAGGACTAGGAAATACATTATTGTGCCCCTTGCTTTTCCTAGGGTGAAATTAAACAATCCAGGCATACTGAAAGTTGAAATAGGACTTTGTTGTGTGCCCTGTGATGAAGTTCAGAGGCACTGACCTCTTGAGTATGTGAAACCCTTGTGTCTAAGGGTGACTGGACTCCCTCCGTACCCTTGCCACTCACCAGGTGCAAGCTGGGATAGGTATACCATCTCCAAAGAAGGAGAAGCTATGGACGACATAATGTAAATATATTCGATCCTTAGTCTGTTGTAAAGAAAAATTGCTACTTGCTTTGTCAGGGCTTGTGGCAAAGCCACCAAATAGGCACCACTTTGCAGAGAGATTTGGACAAATTTCTGTCAGTGGAGCACATTATTTAAGAAAAGCAACAGGGAGTTCAGCAATATGGAGAACAGGGAGTGAGGTGATTATATTTTGTAAAGCTCTTGTCTATTATTGCCTAGGTGATGCCACTGATGACACGAGGCAGATTTAGCCACTCTTAGCTGATCCATAAGGGCATGTGGCTGCCTCTTGTCTCTCTAGGGCTGGCCCCCCATGCCCTCTGGGGACAGTGGCCTGCTTCTTCAATATGTCACAGAAGGGACATTAGGCTAATGGCTTCCATTGTTTTTCCTGGAAAAGAAGCAAGTTACATGATGAGGGTAAGCTTTCCCTCATCAAGAGAAAATGGTGTGAAATTTCCTTCAGGGTAAACCGTTGATCATTATTCTTCCTCTTTTGGAGTTATTTCGATTCTTTCTGTGCAGCAGAGGACAGGCAAGGCTCTAACAGTCAGTCAGTTATAAATTCCTTTGCATTGCTTAAATGTGTTTTTTTCTATATGCTAAAAAAATTAATGACGTCACCTCTTAATCATAGTTAATCGCTCACCCTATTACAGTTCAGCTGTGCTTGGACATTAAAGAAAAATCTGTCAGACATATTTTACCATTTTTTTTGGTGCCAAAATTCTTTTCCACAGTTCATTTCCCTATGAAGTTAACTTCAGTCATTTTGAATTAATTTAGAAGGAATGGCTTCTCTCAGTCATCTACCCACCCACAGATGCATGCAAAAAACAGAAAAGCTTAGTATATGATGTACTAGGAGATTGTGAACAGCAGGCTGCATTCCTTCTTGTTATGCAAGGGAACAATAGTTGGGGGTCTGTACAAACTGGGTTATTAGTAAATACCTTCCCAAGATTCCAATCTGTATGTGTAAATATGGTTTACAGCAACCTAAAAAACTCTTTCCCGAGTTAGTTTTAGTGATAACCCCACTTATGGTATTATTTATCTCAAACACAAACCCGTATAAGTGAGCTTGGCATGGTCAACTCACTTTCCATGGGACAGTTTCAACTACAGTCTAATATCATGGCAATGGCTATCACTACACCATCTCTATTCCCAACTCACACTTCCATAAATGTCCTGTTCCAGCCAGCTCTCTGACACTTCATATGTGCTGTAACCCTAGTACGGTTCTTATATGCACCGTAAGATTAAACTAAGAGAAACTGAGCCTAAACCCATGAATTGGCCTGTAGTTAAGCAGAGTTGCACATAAATCCCTAAGTGACACAATAAGTTAGAGATCTCTCTTGTTTATCCATTTCATGCTTTCTTTAACATTTAATGCTCCAATTCATTTTTCTCCGTATTAATCCACATGTCCTTTTTGATTCCCTTGGATTATGTCTTCTGGATTTATCCTTTCCTGAATGTTTTTTTCAGCCCCTGAAGAATAAGATTCTCCTTAGTTCCACGAAATTATAACTGTTGTAATTATTTCATCCCCACAAAGCTAGAGGAAAAAATAATTTTTTGCCATTAGACACCTGGAATGCTTGGAGCATTATTTTTCTACCGTGTATTTATTTATTTGCTATGTAGAGAATTATAAAAACAAATTTCAGCTTGTATTAAAATTTGTTGAACACCTTTAGCAGTGCACAGAACATTACGACTGGCATATGCCATCCTGTAATACTTCTTTTTGTACTCTGCTCATGGAAAAAATTGTATACTGTAAATATTCATTTATTAAATGTTAGTGAATGTTAGATGTGCAATGATATACTTTTTGCTAGCTCAGGACCAAAGGCTACTGTCTTATTTGCAAGATGCTATTTAGCTTACCTAGTGAGTTCATACACTGTGCCCCATTTAGGCCAAATTTGTATTATTTTAAAATGTTCTGCCGTGCTTATCAGATTTTTGTTTTAAAATAAAGGACACAAAGAAACCTCTCAATTTTTGGAAGCATGCAAGAGTTGATGCAACATAATTCATGGTCTTTGAATAATTTTTCAAGAGGTCCTTCATGCACATTTCAAGCAATTACAGGAACAATGTTTATCATGAATTCAAAAGTCCTTAACTTTTTCATTCAGTATTAATGATGCAAGGATCTGTCTTGCAGGATAAGTTTTGCATTGTATATACAATGCATAGCAAAGGCTTAAAGACATAAGAATAGTATGAAAGGGTTTACTTCTTAAATGTGG